GTGGAAAGGTCAGAGGTGGGAAGACCAAAGGCAGAGAAAGAGTTAGAGGTACCAGGGGAGTGTGAAGAGGAGAAATGAGTGTATTTAATCAAAGCGGTGCGAGAGCAGTCATATCAGTTGTTCGTTTTCAGCACTGCTGGAGCAACTAATGTTACCTCATTCAGACATAACATACATGTCGTATGCATGCTGGTGTATGTGTGTGTAGAAAGTGAGTGCCATGCATGAAGACAGACAAAGTCTGTGTAACAAGTGAATGAAAGCAAGCTAATTTGTACAAATAGTCAGGCAATGTCTTTTTTTTTTAAAGTGTTATTTCGTTTGTTGTTGAATTACTTGAAAATAGTGGGAGGCCAAGCACCCCAAGCTTTTGAACAAATCTGAATTCGACTTTTTAAGGAAAATGTGGTTCTAAAAAACTGAACAAAAATCCAGAGGCCAAAATCACCCCCTTCACACTCCCCGTTGCCTCGAAAACTGTAGCTTAAAGAATGTTTTGCACTTTTTCTGCTTTTCACAGAAAATGTGTGAAATTGACAAGAGGGATTTTTGGCGCAGAAAGTGATACTCATGCATAAATTTGTAGTTTTAAGTGTTAGAACAATAATTGTATGATGTCACTACTGACGATGCTGAAATGTTACTTCAAACTTGACCTGCTTCGTATTTTAAACTTCTATGACCATGAAGAACTAATTCTATTGCCATCCACAAGTCTATAAACAAATTGAAGACGGAAAAAGAAGCAAAATGAACACATTTGATCAGATTCTCCAACTAAATCCTTGCCGCCTTTGGTTGATTGGGCGGGCTTGTTTTGTATTTGAACGCAACCTCACTCGTCATTACTGCGACTGCAATGTTGTGTTCGCTCATAGCTAACGGAGAAAGATTAGGAAGAGACCTTTTCCCTTACCCTCCCTCAGCATGCCCACAGTCAGACACTTCATGAAGCGGCAGGCCTGGCATGACTTGCGTCTCCTCTTGGTGATTTCACACTCGTTGGTGGCTGGACAGCTATATTCGATGTTGCCTGAGGAGGGGGAAAAGCATAAGGGAGACAGTTATATTCTGGAAATGTAGTTTCCTATTTGGACAAGCTGAAAGAGACAAAGAGAAGAAAAATAAGTTTGTACGAGATTGAGCATCCATTTGATGCAAGCAGCGATGTCTTAAGAACCAATTCTGATGACTGCTTCTTTACAGGGCTGGTATTTTGTGGAACATAATTGAAAATGTACATTAACTTGGGGAGAAGTGTATTCTGCTGAAGTACGTTGTATAGGTGTACACCTCACACGCGTGTAGGTGCAGGTGCCTCAGACAGGTTGCGTGACCAACTGCAGACCACTCACTAGCAGTGGCTCACAGCTGAGGATAAGAATCTTAGCTGATCTAAGTCCGTTAAGTGAAAAACCGTGGCTCTCGAAAAAAAAAAAAAAAAAAACATCAGAGAGACCCAAGAGGCTAATACAATACATAGGTAGCATGCTTGATCACCAAAATCGCCCATCCCAATTTATATCTGGCTTGTCCTCACTACAGACAGCTGGAGCCTGTCTTAGTTGAATTTGGGTGCGGGATACATTCCTTTATGTCCAAATAACTGGCGTGTCACACTGCTATGATGTAAACTAACCACATACTCAAAAACATTTGTATTTTTCTACTTATATTCACCTTCATGTGTCAATTTCTCTTCTTTACCATCCTCTAAATTCAAGAGATTTCTTTCTTCCGTTACTTGTCTCGTACCTGTTAGATCGTGATTTACAGCTCCCTTTCAAACGTTTTGTACCCATTTTCAGGTGACGTTAGGCCAGATATGTATTTTAGAGAGACCAGTAACAAAAGTGATTTGTAAAGCATAAAAAAAGAAAAAAGGAAAAAAAAACCCGGATTGTTCTCGTTCCTCCAGAAGTACATTGCTCCAGAAGCCGAGTAAGCTCAAGTGTCTCCCAGTGAAAGAGAATAAATAGTGATTACTATCGACTGCTGCTGTGGGGAGGATGTTTTCTCATTACTCTGTTGATTAAGGGGGCTAGTTAGCTTGGGAAAAGGCTAAATGCGCAAACTGGTCTTAATGGCTAACAAGACCCTCGTTAATTGGCCATGTTAGTGAAAGTAACTGGCTAAACATGCTAAACACCGGGGAAACCTAATAGACGCCGTTAATGGAACAGGGTAGCTCGCAATGCGGAAGATACTGGTGGAGCACATTAATTCAGCAATTACTTAGCGCTAAGGCTAGATGTGCTAATGACACCAAACCTTAGGCCGTAATGGGCCTCGTTAGTGCACACAAGCTAGCTAAATGAATAAGTGTGCTAAAGAGACACTTAGGCAGGTGATTTGCAGCACCTGGACTCAAAACTGGTTTTCATGAAGGACGCTTCATAGTAAACATATTATGTCGGCTTGAAGGACTATGAAATGTGAATAGCGAGCAGGCTGGATGCTCTTTGTATGCTACGACATCCTTCATGGAGAGAGGTTAAAATGTACGAACAAGAACAGCAGGATGTAATAGCTCCACAGGAGCGTGCGTGTCTTTAGTTCTGCCTAGACGCCTGTTCTTGGACACTGAAGCTGGGCTTATAGAACCCAATGATTCTTCTCGGAGGCTTCTTTGTATAACGTGCAGACTGTCGGTGTCCGTGAGGGGGGATATATGAGGGCTTCAAATCCCCTGCAATCTCCTTTGAGGCGTGTGTGTGTGTGTCCACGTGCTGCATGACAATTGACCACCAGTGTGGAGTCGGTTTAACATGACTGCTCTTTTGAATCGACAAAGTGTGCGATATACAGTAGGCGATGAATTGAGCTATTATTGTGGAGTGATGCACATGCTTTCCAACCTTTGATACATTTGATTGATAATTCTATTGGCATTACATAAATAGGATGTCAGCAAAAATACATTTAAAAAAAAAGCTTGTCAAAAAATACTGACTGTATTTTCTAGACTACAAACTGCTATTTTTTTCCCCCTCACTCTTTGAAAAATGTGATGCAGTTAATTTACGGATTTATACGAACGGCATTCATTCCGCCAATACATTGAAAGATCGTCTCGTCACATCTGACCAATGGATTTGCCGAACATGTCACAGCGGACTGTCTGAGGTCGCGCTCAAACTGTATCTTCATATGAGTCATGGTTTACATGGCGCCTTGTATTCCAATTAGAATGAAACTGAATGACCAAACCAAATGAATATGCTGTTTACATCCGACGTGGTCTATTCCAATGTGCCGTTTACATGCCTCGCTGCATTAATTGGAACAGATGTTTTACAGCCGTCTGGCGAACAGATCGAGGTAAACATCATGTGATTCATCAAGATGGAGTTTTTTGGTTTTTTTTAATTCGACGCAATACAGAGAAGTGGACTAAAATAAGTTCTCCCATCGCAGATGAGCGCTGGCAGGACTCTGCCATTTTCAAGTACGTAAACAACTATGGACGCAGCGATCAATTACTTTTCTGTAAGGCTACTTTGTAACTAGCTATCGTCTGCTTTATGTGATTAAAAAAAAGAGAAAAAAGTTTACTGGTGTTGAGGATAATTAAAAGTTTAAAAAGATCCATCTGCGTGACACATTTCTTTGCAAATATTCCGTGTTATAACTTTGTATTACTTTTTATGGCTAAATTTAGCTGTTGGGCCTTTAAATCGGGATCTAAGTCATCCAGAAATTACAGTAACCGAGTCTAAGTAGGAATATGAATTGAAAAAAAAATATGAGTGAACTCAAAATTTCAAGGCAGCAAACTTCAATACAACTTTAAATTGGGCAATTAAAAAAAAAAAACATTTTAACTTTTGCTAATGTGAAAATTAGCCTTCCCACCTTTTCAACAAAGAAATATGAGTCCACAGAACTAACTGCCCCTTGTATTGTCCCCCAACTTAAAGCTATACGTAAAAACAACTCAGCAAATTGTTTTGGAGCAAACAACTTGCTTGCTTTGTTGTGCTAGCTAACATTGTTGGCATCAATTTTAATAATCTATGTTTTAAAGATGTTCCAACATGAGTAACTGTTTTATCCCCCCCAAAAATACAAGTTGTGTTATTTACAGTGTGGAGATTGCTATTGTATTTTATCAAATAGTGGCCATACCAGAATTAGTTACTGGGTGTGTCATTCACTGATAACAAATGGAAAACTTCATCATAAAGATGCCTCTCTTGGGAAGAGTGATATCAATATGCAGGCACTCGTCTTTGCAACCTGGACTTTGAAGAGTTTGGACGTTTCTAACGTCATCTATCCAGGCATGTAAACAAGCATAGATGATTCAAAGTGAGGGCTCTGCCTGGACAGGTACTGGTACTAAGATGGTAACCTCATTGTTTGACGTGATATTTCCTTTGGAAGAAATCACAACATTGTAGGCCTCTTGAATAGACTTAAAGTAGTGAGTGCCGGTAGTGTTGTTTGCATCTTGAGCACACACTCAAGTTACCAATCCAACTGTTTGCATCTCATCTACACCTTTTAGGATTTGATATATATTTACAATTCTGTCTTTCACTGCCACTTTGTCTGAGCGAAAACCATCTTTGGTTTTCTACCTCTGACACTGTGGCTCTCATCTCATTTCATCCCGTCATTCCACAGCCACACTCGTCTTTATGTATCCCCCTCTCTCAATAAGGGGGTGATATATGCACGTTGTCAGGTGTTGCTGGACTGACGCCACAGAAACAGCAGCTGCCACAGCCACTTCCCCCCATGCTGCGATGCGCACACAAACACACACACACATAACGTACAAAACGCAAACTCTACACATCTTCACGCCTGGCCACCATCCTCCATCATTTCCATTCCAAAAATCCCCTTACACAGGTATTGTCCCTTCCAAAGCTTCTTCACCTTCTCTTCTTCCTTCACTCTTTGGCTTATTTTCCACTCCACAGTCTCCTCCCTGTCCAGCTGGAGGTGCTTTTTTGGTGATTACCTGCGGTTTTATTGGCTAATGGCTTGAAACATACCAATATGGCTGCCACTGCCCATCTGAGCCCGGCCCCGCTTCCAGCCAAGCCGCACAACTTCGATACACACAACCCATGCATAAACACAGGCACGTATGCACACCGGTATTACTAATATGTACACAAGCCAATGTGCACAGACACTGTGTGGAAAAGTTTGGCTTGCATGCTGGCCAATGATAATGTCATGACCCATTTGCTCCAGAAGGTCAAAAACATGACGCAAGCCAAACATATGAACTGTAATGATATCTAAATCTCCATAAAATGGTATAAACAAGTTGGAAAAAGAATTGGTTCGCATTGATATGAATTGAAACACCATGCATTTCTTCCAGCCCCGTGCCCACAAATGTTTTTAATTAGGGAAAAAACATCATTGTATTGTAAAATAGAATGTAAAAACACCATAAAATAAATGTAACATAGCAAACGTTTTTTATTTCCGCTTGGCCATTTACCACACGGATAGTTCAGTGCGAGCGACGTCTCCATGCTCATTGTCAGTGTTATCATTTTGCTGTGAAAGCGTTATGTAAAGATGAGTTGAGTTGCAGAAACGGATTGAAAGTTGATTGGCGACCTTTTTTTTTTTTTTTTTAATCACTTCAATCAAGCGGTGACAAATCTGAAGCTGGCTTGAAATAAAAATTTGGGATTGCTACACACACTCAAAATATTAACATAGTGACAGCTCATAACTTCAAAAAGTAGTAAAGTCAAGGTACTGTTGTTTCCAAAACATTAGAAACTCCTGTCATTATGCTGCATTTTCTGAACTTTTTTTCTAAATTTATTTAAATACTGTAAATGAAGTGTCCATATGTGAACCTTTCGTGACAGTGGCCCTATAGTACTCACGTACTGTGACCTCCAGCCTGCGTGACCTGCAGTATATAGCTACAGCAAAGGAAGGCTGGGGATTACAAGTGGAGTGAAAATGATGGAACAAGAGTGAGGCGGACACACAAGGTCACACTGCCAAATAAGCTCGGCATCATATCTAGACAGTGGCGGTGCGCTTGTGTTTAATCTGTAAGCGAGTCCTCACCTATTGAACTTTTAACAAGCTCTCCAAATGAAATGGGCCACGTGGACAGTTTGGACAGGGCAGCAATCGCGAATGAATTACGGGTCAAAGCAACACACGGCGTGATTACAAGGTCATGTGTATACGGGTGCGTGTGAGGTGTGTGTGACAGTCTATTTAAGTGGGAGTTTGTGCGTTTATCTCGACATATGTGCGGCCCAATCTCTTTGTCGGGCAGGGACCGTGGCCTGGTCTCATCCCATAATAAACACATACAGGTCATCTGCTGGTAGTGAGCATCTCGTGGATATAAGACCTTCATCCCCCTGCGTCTTGGCCCCCCTCTTTTGGGCCCTCTCTCTTGGGTTTTACTGGGAAAGCTGCTTATCAGAAGCAAAAGAAAGCAGCGACGGATACGTGGATGGATGGAATGGTAGATAGATGAATCCTGTCTGATATGACTGACTGACTGACTCAATAGATCAATGACGGCATGACCGCTGGCTGACTGCTTGGAAGCAGAGTTTTCCTGTAGCAAGATGACTGACATGCGTACTGACCTGACTGACGGGCCTATTAGTCTTCACTAACTTGAGCTAATCTGGTTGGTAATCGACATTCACCAGCGACCGCATTGGACAACCTAATAAAATTGAACGAATAAATGAATGTGGACTTTACTAAGGTGTTTTTGTTTTTTTTTAATTAACACTGCCAGAGAGACTGTTCTTTGCATCCACTGGGAAAACCAAAGTACATTGGATTTCGTATTTTTGGTGAACAAAACAGTTTCATTTTAACCTGTTCAAATTTGCTGTAGTGTTTATTTGCCAGTACACTTCTATCTCCACATATTGTAGATAAATATCATGAATTATTAAAAAGCATAATTGTAGGTAATTTGAGCAAATGTATTTGTTTTATTGCTATTTCAGGAATATGTATCAAACCGGAAGCCCTTTACATTTTCAGAAAGGTTTCTGAGCCCTATAAAGTATAAACAATTGGAGGATGCTCCAGTTTGCAATGTTGCACTAGAGAAATGGTCTACACCAGAGGTCACCAACATTTTTGAGAGTGAGAGCTACTTCCTGTGTCCTGATTGTGTGAAGGGCTACCACATTGATACACGTCTGAAATAACATTTGTACAATTACATTTAATAATATTAGAATGTTTTTTTTTTAATACTTAATGATTTTAATTTTCAGGCTCTGATCATCTTAAAGATGTCTCACAATACTGCCAGTGTTTGCATTTTTAAATCATAATTTCCACTAGCAAATGACAATCCTTGCACTGGCAGGCTATTGGTGTGGTCCTCACGGGCTACCTTTTGCCCGCGGGCACCACGTTGGTGACCCCTGCTCTATACCTTTGTTCTCGTAGACCTCAAGAAAAACACCAGCCAATTGTTCGGAGAGTGAATTCATTTTTGAAATTGTAAATATTTTTATGTCTTCCACTTGACAATACTGCACTCCTTTCTGAAATAGCTGAATAACTTGCAGCAGGTATCCCATTTCCTGTTAATGTGTGGTTACCTTTCCACAATAAAAACTTAGGGCCATTTGAACATTATGTCATAAAAGTGACCATTAAAAAAAAAAAAAAGATCAATGGTCCATTTATGATGTATAGTTGTGTTTTAGTGCTCAGAGATAAGTGTAACTGAGAGGACAATAGCGTGGTCCAAATACGTGCGAACCCACTTGAAGATTTAACAAGAGTGGCACAAAGGATTAGCGAACCTAATTCCCGCTACTCCGCTCATCATGTGGATTATTGCTCATCCCCTCTCTCCTCTCCTCCTAACCTGAACTCTTCGCCCCTAGACATGACCTGTGACCATGGTGTGACTCGATATGATCACCGAGATACCAGGCGGATTGCCAACACTGTTGGTGTCAAGCGTTTGGAGGTTAGCTCTGTCAATGCAAATAGATCGTGGAAATTGCTTTTTGCTCTTAAAATGACAGGTCATGGTTGAGGGTGCACCTGAGGGTGTGCCTGGATCCAAGCATGAAGCTGGATTGGTACTCGTATTAGGGTGTGTCGACACATGCGTCTTGGAAAAATAAATAATAGTAGAGGGAGAAACATGAACGCTAGATTCAAATATGCCTAAAATAACAGAGCTGAAACAAATGCATATGCTACATATCCAGGATGTGCATTATGTGTGATTTCGTAAAAAATGCCAGTGTTTACAAATCAATATACATGATCAGCGCATGTTAAAGTGAATGTATTTTACAATTACATTTGTAACTTCAAGATTGAATATTTAAAAGCAATTCTATATCTTTTGTAACTCCATTTGTATTGTCAGAGCACAGTCTTTTAAAAAGATTCACTTGGACCAAATTTAAAGTCACCTAAACTGTGGATTTCTAATTAAGTCCTCAGCATTTTTCACAAGACTTCAATTCAAGACTATGACAGTTTCATCGTCCATTTCTTCTTTGGCTATTTTACTTATTTACATATTTATGAGTGAGTCAGCATGCAAGTTAAGCGCCGAATGTTTTATTCTTACAGTAGCCCTCTTCTATTCTACATTCACACAAGTTTAAAAAGTTAGATGTCGCAGCCACGCTAATCTGCAGAACATTGCTTCAATGATTTACTAAAAGTGCTAGCTTATTTTTACACTTGTATGACAGAATGCTTACATGTTACTTAAAAATTGCTTGGGAAAGTATAGTTTGTCAACGTTTCCAATAAAATTTTGTTATAGATTGGTAATAAAAAAAAAAAAAAGGGGACTGAGAATGGTTTCTTGAGGGACAGCAGTATAACATCCAAGCACTACTGATACACAAGGCATTGAACCTCAAACCATTTCAGCACCAACCTCACTTTGACATTAAGTGCATCTAATCTAAATGGCAGAAATGCAAGCAGACAAGAGATAAATTGCTCACAGATAAAGAGGGAAAATGGGAACCAACCTTGAATGGTGCGTTTGAAGAAGGCCTTGCAGGCCTCACATGATGCCACACCATAGTGGTAGCCAGAAGCAATGTCCCCGCACACCAGACACAACCTCTTGGGCATGGAATTCAACATGTACTCGCACTTTATCTGGGAATCTTCCCCAATCGTTGATGAACAGTCCTCGTAGCGCTTTGATCCGGGGCCGCCGGCGGGACCCAAGGGCCCCGCGCCGGAGCCATAGAGACTCGGGGAGTCTAAACCGTTGGGGTGGCCGTTCATGGTGGACGAATAGGAGCCTGATGCGTCACTGGAACCGCCGGGGGAGTGGTGGTTTAGACTGTCGGTCAGGGATGCGGGGCTAGATGGCTCAGTCTTTATATACGAGGACGGACAGTTGGACTCTAGGTGGCGCTCCTTACTGGACATTCTGCAGAGAAGCCTGAGGGAGGAAAGCAAAACCATAACAAGACGATGAATATATTAGATAATATATGAATATTGTTGCCGTGAATGTACTTTAGCTATGTAGTAGTCCCCAGTTTCATCAATAAAAGTTGCCTCCTAAACAACAACCACGTACTGAGAAGTAAATACAAGTGAGTCGTGTTCTGATTCAGTGTTGTTTTCTGTTGTCTCTCTTCGTTCTGACTGATATGTTCAGAATCAGAACTTCTGAGGACAAATATTGGGCTACATGGACATTACAACAACTAGAAGTGAAAAACGGAGCGTAACAGGGAGCCAATCTTTGCCGCTATTCTTGATGTAGCACACTTTTGTGTAAGAGAAAAACATCCTTCTCCAAATTGTTCCCACCCAGTTAGAAGAAGCATAGACTTGTCCGAAATGTCTTGGTCAGATGAACAATTAAGATTCAAAGGGGCCGAAGACCAATCCCGGAATTGATTCATTAATTGATTCCAGGTCGTGTCTCTCTGCTTATGTATGCTTCCTCACAAGCTACAAAGCTCTTAAAAATCCATCCATCGTGAGGCTTTTTTTCCCCCTCTTTCATTTGACAAAGAGAATATCGGTGGTAGAAAAAAATATATATAATAAATAAAAAAAGGACAACAGGGAACCACCAGGGGCAGCCTGTGTAGGACAGAGCAGCAGGGAGGCTCAGACATTCACATGCACACAGCCAGCACATGAGCATGCTTGGGGCCGGTCGCTCATCCGTCACGCGCCAGTCAATAGGCGCTTGTTCAACATGAAGGTAATCAGTAAGCAGCCTCTTTGCTGCTCCATCATCACAAAGACAGCCAAACGCACACACACTCAACCACGCTTACAAATACACACTGGTGGCTGAAGAATTTAGGAGCTGCACAGAATAGTTGACAAAACAACAATAACATTTCCTTTCAGGATCAAATTGTTTCTCCCTGTTTCTCCCAAATCTTCTTTTACAGACTCCCAAAGGAGAGTGTTGTTAATGCCAATTGTAATTAACAACTATCTTCATGCTGTCGATATTTCCTCTTCCTATTCTTTGTCCACTTGACTATCTTTCTGCCTGTCTCCCTATCACCTTCTATTCACCGCCATCTATCTCTTTCTCTTGGTCTTTGCATTGCCGCGCTCTTTCTCTCACTCTGCCACTAAAACTCACCCTCCTTTCCCTTCTCTCTCTCTCGTCATTGTTAAAAGCAGAATGCACAAAAGGGGTTTTTAATTAAGGCAGGACGCTGCTCAACGAGGGGCTTCTAAAGTCCAGTCGGCCTGTAAAAGATCCCCGTTCTACTGGGACCCATAAAACACAGACAGTGTCTTGACGAAGAATGGCCTGCTTGGGCGAAGGAAGGCTCGAGTGGGGGTTGGGGACAGGGAATGGATATAGACAAGGAAAACAGGTAGGCTGACTGACAACCAAAGAGGGAGATAGACATTATCAGGAAAGAAAATTGGAATTTAATTGGAATGACACTAGCATGTTATCGATTGAAGGTAGAACAAGTATGGTGGTTAACAAGGGATTTTTGATACCACTTTTTCTCACACCGATACCATGATGAGTAATTCACTCTTGAATACTGATACCAAGTACTGATACCACTAGTACTTTGATACATACGTTTAAAAAAAAAAAAGACCGCTAATTTCAAAGATAGACTGATATATCCCACGAGAACATTTTTCTGTAAGTTGCATCTAATTAAGGTCAATTCATTTTCGATTATCTTTTTTTTCATACGTTTGTAAAATACAATGCAATGGCCAGAAAAAGTGCCAATCAAAATATGTGGTTGTACATCTTCATGCGCACCTGTCAGACATGTATGCCTTTAGTTCCTGATTGTAAAATGGCCACAAGAGGGCAGAGAGTGCTGATTTCAGCTGCCGTGAGTACCAACAAATTCCTTTAGTCTGGGCATCAGTCCGATACCACTACCCGGTATTGGTACTCTCCCATCCTTACAGTTAGCCTTTACACAGGAACAATGACAAAGTAATGCTACTCAATGGATGGCCACATCCTGACAATATGTAAATAATTTTGCCTACATACAAAGGGAATTCTCCTCTCCTCCAACCCTGTTGTGTTGAAAGCTATTGTCGCTGTTAAAAAAAAAAAAACAAAAACGTGACGTGATTACTTTGTTGTGGAATGCGGTGTCACTGTTATCGCTCTATTGCTACAATTTTGCAGGATCTCTGTGCATAAGAGACAGAAAATGGATCCCGGGTATTGATGCAGATTTTATGCACTCAAGTGTGTTCTGCTCCCTTAATTCCAACAGAAAATAACGTCTACACTGAGTGATAAAGGTGTGCAATCAAGGCGGCTACAGAATGGTAAGGCGTGTCTTAAAAGACTAAAAGACAGATTTTAACCATCCACTATTTCTTCCTCTGCCCAAGTCCTTCTAATTCAGCGTGTCCATTAATGGAAGCTTTGTGCTATCCAGCAATGCTAATAAATCCATTTATCTGATGCTCAGGCAGGCCTTTGGTTAAGGATGAAGGAAAAAGTTTCTGGATCCAAATCAAGACAGGGAAGAGGACATATAGTGTGTATATACAGGCAGGGGAAGGTATTAGAATGGGTGGCAGAAATGAATGATGGGATGGTGATGGATCATTCTGATTCATACGCTGAAGGGAATGAAAACACAGTGATGACAGAAAAAAAGGCAGCAGAGCCATTTAAGCAGATGACGTGATGGCGATGATTTAATCTCACTCTTTATGCACTTTTGTGTCCCTCCCTTTCCGACGTCAATCTCTCCGAGTGCCATTAAGTGAAAGAGTTTAAGTGCCAAAAGATCCCATTTTTTCTCTTTTTCTCCTTTCTCGCACCTTTCTCTTCCCTCGCACCTTTTCTCCCTGCTTATAAATGAAAAATAATGGCCCTGCAAGGGGGAGGAATCAAAAAAGAATGGGAGGACATGCGAGGAGGTGGAGAAGTGGAGGAAAGAAGATTAAGAAATCAGTCAGTGCACTGTGCCGAGCGAGAGGTTGAATGCATTTATGTATGTATGTTATCAGTATAATTATGTCGCTATGTAGCGGCGGCTCGCTGCTGAAAGAGCAATCTTATTGTGCCTGTGTGCTCCCCGGATGAGCGTTGAAAGTGGAGGAAAGGCTTGGCGCTCATCTCTCCTTTATGTTTTTAAGTGTTGAAAAAGATTTATATAAAGAGGGGAGGTCTGGAGAGGTGCGCTCAAAGACGCAAGTTGAGCCTTACGAGGCGATGCCAGTATGTATCCTTGTTTTGCTTGTGTCGTTTCAAGAGTTTAGTTTCGTTTTACATCGAATTAACACATTATCGCGACACTCACTGATCATCAAATGATCTCCAATATAAAAACACGTATGCAAAATATGTTGCCTTGATATTTATAGTTTAGATTGACTCTCAATGTGTTCAATGAGAGTTTGGTCGTCATTTAACCATACATTTAAGTTTTTGGGAATGCAGCAGAGAGCCTGGAGAAGCATGCTAAATTAAAGCGCGCCTGAGATGAGAGTCGACCCCAGAACCTCAAAACTGTACGGCAAATCTGCCAACCACTATCATATTACATGATATCTACAGAAAATGCCATGAGTTTGTTTAAGTCCACCTTGCTGGATTCACAAAGATGATGCTGTGAATGTGAAATAATTAGTTATGGTGTCCCACAGGGACCTGTCATTGGACCACTCCTGTTCAAAATCTTACCTTTCTCATTAAGTAACAATAAGCTAATTTTCTTTGTCATGGAAACTTCTTATCAATGCCAGCTAATCTGCTATCCAAACTTCAGGTGGACAAATACATATATTTTGACGATGAAAATAAAAAGCCAAACTGTTGCTGTGCAGTAGAACACCACGAGTTTTGCATTTTTTTTCCCTCCATGTTTGTTAGCAGTTATATATGCATTTAGATGATTAATAATGCTTTTCTTTGGTGTACCTGAAAAACAAACATGACACATTACCATAATATTAATATTTTAATTGGAGTTTTCAGTGCTGTAAAACTGTGTTGCTCACAGTTTATTGGCTTGTATAGGTGAAAGTGTGGAACAACATATTACCAGCAGTTCTCTTGATGACACGATGAACTTTTATGCAACCAACGACAACCACAATAATAAAGACATTGTTAACTAAATACCTCTCCGACTTTGTCAATCATGAAAAAAACCTCCAGTCTTGGGGTGAGGAACTTCCTTCCTGGACCATTTAACTAAGTTTATTTTAAATGGGGAGTGACAGATTGGATCCATTTTCGGTTGTGCCTTACGTCTAGCTAAGTGTTGCACAACTCCTAAGTGTTGTGTGGAAATCAAATATTGAGGAGGTCAATTTACCTGTCCCTTAGTGTGAGACAGTGCATCCACACACACCAACACACACATCAAAAAGAGGTCAAGATTACTGCCTTGCCTTTTCTCCATCCCTGCTCAATCCCTGTTATTTTCTCTTTCTTGCCTTTGCTCTTGTCTGTATATTATCCTTCTCTTCTTGAGGGACTAGCGAGTAACAGAGAGAACAGAGCAATGTTTGGAGAGGAGAAAAGAAGCGGAAGAAGGAGGGAACCTGTGTTTTGTCTTAGTGTTGTGAGTGAAGGTGGTCCAGCATGCCATGACAAGCTGTCATTAGAGTGGCAGCCTGATGCAGCGGCCTGACAACTGGCTGAGGCAAACATACAATCATCGTATTAGAGCCACTCTGCCTCACTCTGTCTCCGTGCTTTTTCGGCGCAAACTGTTCTATTATGTGAAGTCTGTGGACTGCTGCCTCCAAAGTGAGATGGAAAACAACTCCAAACTGTTTTCAACCCACCTAAAGAAACAGAAAAGAAAATCCCCTGGAGCAAATCAGAGACCTTCACTGTAAGATCATCTTGAGAGCAAATTGCATTTCCTTCAGAAATTGTGTGCGAATTGTCTGAGAATTGTAGAAGTTGTGCTGGAGCACCAAAGAAGGAAAAAAAATGTCCAA